AGGAGCGGCCAGACTGGGTGGGCTTCTACGGCCTAGCTGCTGAGATGAATGGGGCACTGGCCCCACAGACGGCAGAGTTCCTACAGATGCTGGTGACACACGTGGCAAAGGCGAAATTCAGGGCTGCCAAACCAACCAAAACTGCAGCCAAGCTCTACTGCCACTACCGCCAGCGCTGGTCGGTCATGCAGCAGCGTTGCCAAGCAACAACCTTGCTGGCCAAGTCCAACCAAGTCGCAGAGAAAGCCTACCCACAGTCCATGGCTGACCCCTGGGCCCCGCACCTAGGGGATCTGGCTCAGACCCTTGAGGATGAGCTGGATGGGGGGGAGGACTGGGGGACGTAGAAGGCTGGAGGGAAGGAGAGGGAGAGGGAGAGCTGCGGGCTGGAGGTGGTGACAGGGCGGGGACATGGCAGGCGGGTCAGGCATAGAGCCAGGGGCGGGCCAAGGGTAGGGGGCTGGACTAGCCGCGAGGATGTTTCTTGGGTAGGCTAGAGGGCAGAATCACTTGGGTGCTTGTTTGTCCGTGGGATTGCTTGAATACTTGTGTGTTTTCTGGCCTGCTCGTTCGTCTGCTTGCTCAAAGGCTTGCTTGTTCCCTTGTCTGCCTACTTGGGGGCCTGCTTGCTGGTTGTTTCTCTGCTGCTTGGTGGCTACCTCATCTGCCTGATACTGTGCTGTCTCTGCAGGACTATCAGTCTGGAAGTTGGTAGTAGACTCCCTTGCATGCCTAGGACCATCTAGCACCTGCCCTTACCATGCCTGTATCCGAATAAACCCATCAATGAAGGACTTCTTGAGAGAGAGAGAGAGAGAGAGAGAGAGAGAGAGAGAGAGAGTGAGAGAGGGAGGGAGAGAGAGAGAGAGAGAGAGAGAGGGTACTAGCCTCTGCCCTCTCCTTTAGCCCTCTGCCCTCTTCCTTGAGCTATATAAGAGGCCTCTCACAGACTCTTCTCTTCATTATTCTGTTTGGTGGCAGAAATTTTCCTTGTTCGAGAGAGCGAGAGAGAGAGAGAGAGAGAGAGGGTACTAGCCTCTGCCCTCTCCTTTACCCCTCTGCCCTCTTCCTTGAGCTATATACGAGGCCCCTCACGGCCTCACTATAGTGGCACAGTCATCGCACTCCCATTCCGCCTACAAGCCTGCTCAGCTTCTGGAATTTTGTGGGAAGGTGCTTCAACATGTGTTCTTCAGACCCACAAAGTTTCAGATTTTTTTAAGCAGCTTACAAGGCATGGCAACATTTTTAGTTTCAAGACTTATGGCATCCCGGAAGTGTGTGTTACTCTTTTTTGGTAACACCCGAGTTCACCATTTCGGCTGGTGACACACCGACCAAGCTTTGATTGGTCTGAAAATCGGTGTGGCAGTGTTTTGCCGTGTTGTTTAGGTGTTCACCGAGTTTCAGGACAACCCAGCATCGGAGCAGCACGTGACAGCTGTCGAAAGTTACTGTTCCGTAGTCATGGTGCACTGTTGGCAGCATTTCCCTTGCCACCCTTTCATTGTTGTCATGCCAATGGTGCAGGGACAGAGAATGAGATAAGAAGTACAGGTATTCAAGTGGGACTCTACCACCCTCTTTTTGAGAAGTGTGGTCTTCCTGGAAGCAGCTTGCAAGAGGGTGCAAGTGGGAAGACAAGCTGACTCATGGTTGGCTTGACTCACTATTGGTAGCCTTGAGTACAGCTCTGAACATCCAAGTGTGGTTGGCTTTGCTGACCTAGCTAGGACGTTTCCCATCCTTCTCTAGCCTTTTTTCCCTAGGACTCAACCTTCTCTGAGTTCCCAGGATGGTCCCAACCCATTAAGAGTCCCCTAGGCAATGTTGTACTCACCTCTTCCTTGCATCAATGAAACTACACGTTTTCAGCCGAGCTTACATTTTCGTCCACTCTGTAGCGCATACACTTCTCATTCCCATCGACTTGTCCTCATCTTCAGAGTTGACAGAGGTGTCACGTGACTGGGGAGGTGCTGAAGGGGAGGCAGCAGATGTGGAAGAAGTACTGCAGCAAGGGGAGGCCCTTGTAGCCGAGAGAGGTGATAAAAAGGAGGAGGTGCAGCAGCCTACACCATCCCCTACGCTTCCACCAAGGCGTACAACCCAAGGGAAGCGTGATGCTGTCCGTGGTGGAGCCAAGGAAGGAGCAGCCAAGGAGAGGCCCAAGAGAGCTGCCCACCCAAGGGATTTCCTCAAGTATGAAAGGCTTGGGGGTCCCAAGGCATTGCTGGTCCAGGAGGAGGAAGATGAGGAGGAGAAGGGAGTCAAGGGGGGGATGGAGCAGATTTGTTGCTTTGGCGTCAACTTACCTCATGAGACGACATTAATGGAGGAAGTTCTCGCTGGAGATGATCGAGAGGCATGGCTGGCTTCAAGGGAGGATGAGTTCCAAAGCCACATGGAGAATGAAACGTGGACCCTTACCAATCTGCCCCCAGGAAGGAAGGCGTTGGACTGCACGTGGGTGTTACGTGTGAAGACCGATGCGGAGGGGAGGTTGGAGAGGCGCAAGACAAGGCTTGTGATCAAAGGCTTTCAGCAGTGGGAGGGGATTGACTTCTAAGAGGTGTTTGCTCCTGTTGCCAAGGCTCCTACGCTCCGAGTGTTGCTAGTAGCCGCTGCCGTTTGTGGCGGGAAGGTGGAGCAAATGGATGTGAAGACGGCGTTCCTCTATGGCGTGGTAGATGAGGAGATCTACATGAAGCAGCCAGAGGGGTATGATGATGGGAGCGGATGTGTTTGCAGGCTCAACAAGGCCATCTATGGCCTTAAACAAGCTCCAAGGTGCTGGTATGCAAGGCTGGTGGAGGCGTTGGAGGCTCTTGGCTTCAAAGTTAGCGGGTGCGACGAGAGTCTCTTCATGACCGAGGGGGAGGAGGAGAAGGTATTTCTCCTTGTCTACGTCGATGACATCCTCCTCTTCTCTCCATCCCTGGAGAGGATCAAGGAGGTGCAAGGAAAGCTGAAGGAGACCTTTCAATGCAAGGCCCTTGGACCAGTGGGGTATTACCTTGGTCTTCACGTGGAGCGGGACGAGGTGAAGGGATGATTGAGGCTTCACCAACACAAGTACCTTGCAGCCATGGGGGAGAAGTATGGGCTGGAGGAAGGGAGGAGTGCAAAGACTCCTCTACCCTCAGGGTTTCAGCTGCACCTTGATGAAGAGGAGGGTGAGGTGTTGGAGTACGAGTTGCAGCATCGGTTCCAGTCAATGGTGGGGAGCTTGATGTATGCTTCGGTCAACACTCGCCCCGACATTGCGTTTTCAGTTTCACAGCTTGCTCGTGTGGTGTCTAGGCCCCTTCAAGAGCACCTGGATGCAGCAGAGAGGGTGGTGAGGTACTGCATGGCAACCTCAAAGGTGGGGCTGCAATATTCAGTGCATGGGCAGCTGAAGCAAAAGGGAGTGGAGGAGGTGAGCACAAAGACCGGTGCACCTGCAAGGCGTGGGCACTTGTACCTCTCGTGCTTCACTGATGCTACCTGGGCAAGTGACATCAGTGATGCTACGTCCCATGGTGGCTATATATGCTGTGATGGAGGGAGTCCAGTGAGTTGGAAGTCTAAGAAGCAAGGAGAGATAGCTCACTCATCAACGGAGAGCGAGTACATGGCGTTGTTTCATGGAGTGGAGGAGGTGGTTTGGATGAGGAGGTTGCTTGAGGAGTTGGGGCAGGAGCAAGAGGGTCCTACACCTGTGTTCTGTGACAGCCAAGGAGCAATTGCAATGGCGCGTAATGCTGTGCTCCATGGGCTGAACAAGCACATGCATATCAAGTGGCATTGGGTGAGGAAGGAGGTGAAGAAGGGCACCATCTCCTTGCACTACATCAGACTACCAAGCAACCTGCAGATTTCTTGACTAAGCGGCTTGCAGAGCATCAGCATTGGAGCTGTGCCACATTGTGTGGCATGTCCTTCAACTAAGGGAGGCAGCTTCAGGGAGCAGCTGAGGGATGAATGAGAGCACGATGAGGGGGAGTTTGTTGTGCCAAAGCACTATAGTGGCACGGTCATCGCACTCCCATTCCGCCTACAAGTCTGCTCAGCTTTTGGAATTTTGTGGGAAGGTGCTTCAACATGTGTTCTTTACGCCCTTAAAGTTTCAGAATTTTTGAAGAAGTTTACAAGGCATGGCAACATTTTTAGTTTCAAGACTTATGGCATCCCGGAAGTGTGTGTTACTCTATTTTGGTAACACCCGAGTTCACCATTTCGGCTGGTGACACATCTACAAAGCTTGGATTGGTATGAAAATCGGTGTGGCAGTGTTTTGCCGTGTTGTTTAGGTGTTCACCGAGTTTCAGTACAACCCAGAATCGGAGCAGCACGTGACAGCTGTCGAAAGTTACTGTTCCGTAGTCACGGTGCACTGTTGGCAGCATTTCCCTTGCCACCCTTTCATTGTTGTCATGCCAATGGTGCAGGGACAGAGAATGAGACAAGAAGTACAGGTGGTCAAGTGGGACTCTACCACCCTCTTTTTGAGAAGTGTGGTCTTCCTACAAGCAGCTTGCAAGAGGGTGCAAGTGGGAAGACAAGCTGACTCATGGTTGGCTTGACTCACTATTGGTAGCCTTGAGTACAGCTCTGAACATCCAAGTGTGGTTGGCTTTGCTGACCTAGCTAGGACATTTCCCATCGTTCTCTAGCCTTTCTCCCCTAGGACTCAACCTTCTATAAGTTCCCAGGATGGTCCCAACCCATTAAGAGTCCCCTAGGCAATGTTGTACTCACCTCTTCCTTGCATCAATGAAACTACACTTTTTCAGCCGAGATTACGTTTTTGTTCACTGCGTAGCGCATACACATCTGATGAAAGCAAGCAATATACCGTTGGAAAGCAGACACCTGAAGCTAACTGCTATCAAAATTTTAGCTTTTTATGTTATTAGAGCTGATCATGACGGTGTTTTGAACAGAGGCGGTTCGAAGTCATCAGATTCTGCTTAGGCGGTTTCATGGGCATCCACGACCCTTAAGTGGACTCTAGACTATAACACCATCAGAGAGCGATGAAGCTCGCGCACCACCACTGTGGTTGCGCCGATCAAGTCGACTGCAGTCCTTTCGCGCAAAAACCGGCGCAGACCACGGTCTGCCGTCCCAAGCTGTCCAACGCCCGCAACTCCGCCCCGCGCGGGCGTAGCCAACACGGGCGCCAGGAGCTCGGCCAGCCGATCAGCGGCATCTAGGCACTCGTCCCAAGGTCCACTGTCCAGAGGAACACCCTGGGAGAGAGCCGGGTGACCATACACCTGAATCAGGTGCACAGCCCGCAGACCCTCAGAGAGTAAGGAGATGGCCCAACCAGCGGCTGTACCGGCACCGTTGCAGCCGGAGGAGCAAGAGCCACGGGCAGTAGCGATGGATACTGCGCCGTCACCGGTCCTCCTGCCACGGTCACGAACTCCATACCCGCAACAGGAGGAACCCTCAGCAGGCAAATACGGTTCCCATGAGCAGCAGCAGATGCAGAGGGAGCAGGAGGAGGAACGGCTGACAGGGGAAGAGGAGGTGCAGACACATAGGGCGCGACCGGAGGATGGGACGCATGCGCTGGAGCGACGCCCGCCGAGTTGCTCTAGCTTGCCTGCCCATTTCGCTCCTGTCGCATCGCATCAGAAACAACACGCTGTAGATCAGCCATCATTACTGGCTGATCATATGCCCAGCCGCCACCACGACCGCGCCCCCCCCACCAGCCACCATGACCGCCACGGGATGCAGCCCAGTTCGCCTGGGACCCTACGGCGCCGAGGAGAATCGTGTCGCCACCGCGTCGTCTCTCGCTCGTCACGTGGTGCAGGGGAGTGAGGCCGATGCTGCCGGCGGCCCGGAGACAGCTGACGCTGAGCCAAAAGAGCAGCAGCGAGTGGCGCAGGATCAGGAACCACCTGGACATCCGGGGGCAGCACCAATGTTGCCGCTGTCGGTAGGACGGGAGCCGACAGCGCAACGGCCCCCCCCACCTCCCCCGGGCTCGGGCCGCCAGTGGTGGCGGACACCGCGTGCGGCGACGAACCAACAGCAGCGATCGGTGCAGGTAGGGCGACTGAGGCAAGCGGCGCAGCAAGGATCGGGGCGCCCGGAGGGGCATCAACAATGACAAGGGGAGCGGGAGACTCAACGGGAGCAACAGGAGCAACAAGAGCAACACGAGCAGGCCCCGCATGAGCGTGCGCGTGAGGAGCAGCCACAGCGGTAGGTTGAGGCTCTGTGATAGGTAGAGCTGGCTTTGGTGGATTCGGGGCCTCGGGCGGGGAGGGAAGCGGTTTTGTTGCAAACGGCAGTGGCAGCTTCATCGAGGCAATCACCGAGCCAGACACTGCCGGCGACCTACCGGAACCCGCAGACGCAACGACAACACACTCTGGCTCAAGCCAACCTTCGATCACCATCGCGGAGAGGACGGGGTCGAGGCCGCGGGGGAGGAGCAGCTAGAGGTGTGGGCGGCGGTCCGGAGAACGCCTTCCAGGCAGCGGAACGGCATGCTTTAACAACAATAAACAAGGATATCGATCCAGAGGAGCACAGCGACCCTTCTTATAGGGAGGAGCCGGATGTCCTTAGTAGTAGCAGTGAAGAGGAAGAAGGCAATCGGGAAAGGGAAGAAGTTGCAAGCAGAAGTAGAACAGAGCAGCGGAGTGCAGAGGAGTCTCATCGAGCTGAGGGTGAGTCGCACGATGGCAATCTTACGGTCGGAAATCCAACTCAATCTCCAACCCCCTCCTCGAGTCGCGGCCGTACAAATCGGACCGCGAGGCGCTAGGCCGGCGTGGCGCCTGTGGTCCCAATTCAGCGCTACTACTCGCCAGAGGAGCTGGCGACACACAATGACCGGTTTGCATCGCTCGTGAACTAGGATATTGCCCCGCTCTGCGACAGTCGCCAACCCTTGCTAGCCCGCAGATTGCCGCCAAACCTGTGTCAGCTATTTTCGCTATGCTTGCTGACACCACTCCTGCATCTATCGTGTAACCCGGGCTCTATCCCAGGCTGGCGCCTGCCGCTTTTTCTCCCACGTCTCACACTTTGTCAGACCTTGCCAAAACGCCTGGATTGGTCGAAAATCAAAGCACGACTCCGTTCGTTTCAGGGTGGCGAATGGGATCAGCTGTACGCTGAAGCAACCGAAGCAATCATTAACCCAGCCCCGCCATGAAACCAACCCGATGACTCAGGTGTCATCAGCAGAGCGGAGGGACTGGCGAAGCGCGGGAGTCTACGCAGAGCGGTGTTGGCACTGGAGTCAACCTCGGTTTGCACGCCCAGTCCATTGATCTTGGATGAACTTCGACACAAACACCCACAAGCGGGACCCGAGCCGTTGACGTGGCCCCAACACGACGAACTCCAAAGCCTGTCAATTCCATAAGTTGACTTCCACAAGCTGCTGAGCCGATGTGCGAACGGGGTGGGGCCATCTGGCACCACGTTTGAACAGCTGCGTGATTCAGCAATTACGAACGCATCGGTCTGTCAAATTATAAGTTTACTGCTATCTAGGCTGTAGTGGGTTTAGCCTTAGGGGGTACAGTAAATTGCTCGACACTTCATTGTATCCCCCTCCTTGCCCTAATCCTCATCATTCCTTCTCAAAATCCCTCGACATTCTCCTTGGCCATGGTTTCTCCTAAGCCTCCTTCCACCTACGATTCTAACATGCTATCAGAGTAGGTCGTTTATAGGACCTAACATTCATGGGCCCACCACCTACTGCCCTGCTAGCCTAGGCCCCGGCCCATCGCCCCTTGGCGTCGCCCCTAGCCCCTAGGCTCGGCCCGTTGGCCCCGTCGCCCCTGGCCGCGCCCCTCGGCCCCGTTGGCCCCGTCGCTCCTAGCCACGCCCCCTCGGCCCCGTTGGCCCCGTCGCCCCTAGCCGCGCCCCTCGGCCCCGTTGGCCCCGTCGCCCCTAGCCGCGCCCCACCGCCCCGTTGGCCCCATCGACCTCGTTGCCCCTAGCTCGGCCTCTCGACCCCGTTGGCCCCGTCGCCCCTAGCTGCGCCCCTCGGCCCCGTTGGCCCCGTCGACCCCGTCGCCCCTAGCCGCGCCCCTCGGCCCCTTGGCCCCGTCACCCCTAGCCGCGGCCCCTAGGCCCCGTCGCCCTCAGCTGCGGCCCCTCGCGACCCCAGGCCCCGTCGCCTCGGCCCCTTGGCCCCGTCGTCCCTAACCATGGCCCCTCGCGACCTGCCACCCCTAACCGCGGCCCCGTCGCCTCTAGCCTCGGCCCCTAGTGACCTGTCGCCCCTAGCCGCGGCCCCGGTGCCCCGTCGCATCATGGAGGGTAAGGGGGTGACGGTTTCTTCCTGCCCGCGTGCCCTGCAGTCGCACACGCAGCTCCGCCCCCGCCCCCCTCCCCCCCCTCCATGGGGACGGGGGGGAGAGGGTGTGAGGGGGTGACGGATGTGCCCCAGCAGCAGCAGCTGCCGCCACGCCTCCTCCTCTCTCTCTCCCTGCCGCACCTTGTGTTGGGAGGGGGGGGGGAGCTTGGAGGTTCAGGGGGAGGCAGGAGGGGATCTGCAGCACCAGCCCCCCCCACCCCCCCTTTCTCCTCCACCCCTGGGGGGTGAAGGATTGTGGAGCAGCAGTGGGGGGGAGGGGATCTGCAGCACCAGCTCCCCCCGCCCCCCCCTTCTCCTACCTCCCCCTGCTGTGGGTGCAGCAGTGGGGGGGAGGGGATCTGCAGCACCAACCCCCCCCGTCCCCCCCCTTCTCCTTCATCCCTGGGGGGTGACGGATAGTGGAGCAGCAGTGGGGGGGAGGGGATTTGCAGCATCAGCCCCCCCCCCCCCTCCCGGCCCCCCCTTCTCCTCTCTCTCTCCCTGCCGCACCTTGTGTTGGGAGGGGGGGGGAGCTTGGAGTTTCAGGGGGAGGCAGGAGGGGATCTGCAGCACCAGCCCCCCCCCCACTTCTCCTCCATCCCCCTGCTGCGGGTGCAGCGGTGGGGGGGAGGGGATCTGCAGCCCTGTGCTGCCCTGCTGCCCTGCAGCCCTGCGCGCCCTGCTGTCCTGCTGCCCTGCGCGCCCTGCGCGCCCTGCAGCCCTGCGCGCCCCGCGCGCCCTGCTGCCCTGCAGCCCTGTGCGCCCTGCTGCCCTGCTGCTGCCGCTTCAGCCCTTGCTGCTGCTGCTACAGCCCTTGCTGCTGCCGCTACAGCCCTTACTGTTGCCGCTACAGCCCTTGCTGCTGCCGCTACAGCCCTTGCTGTTGCCGCTACAGCCCTTGCTGCGGCCGCTACAGCCCTTGCTGTTGCCGCTACAGCCCTTGCTGCTGCCACTACAGCCCTTGCTGTTGCCGCTACAGCCCTTGCTGCTGCCGCTACAGCCCTTGCTGTTGCCGCTACAGCCCTTGCTGCTGCCCTGCGCGCCCCGCGCGCCCTGCTGCCCTGCAGCCCTGTGCGCCCTGCTGCCCTGCAGCCCTGTGCGCCCTGCTGCCCTGCAGCCCTGTGCGCCCTGCTGCCCTGCTGCCCTGTGCGCCCCGTGCGCCCTGCAGCCCTGTGCGCCCCGCGCGCCCTGCTGCCCTGCTGCCCTGTGCGCCCTGCTGCCTTGTGCGCCCCGTGCGCCCTGCTGCCCTCTGCACGCGCCTTGCACAGCACCAGCCCCCCCCCCCCCCCCCCTTTCTCCTCCACCCCCCTGCTGCGTGTGCAGCAGTGGGGGGGGGAGTATGGGGGTGGCGGGATCTTGGAGGGTATGGGGGTGGTGGGTATGAGGAGCCAGCAGCCGCCCCTCCTCCTCTCTCTCTCACGGCCGCGCGTGCCACTGTGGGGGGAGGGTGAGGCGGTGGTTTGTTGATTTTTTTGCTCGTCTGCCGTAGCCTTGCCCTGCTTGTACTCGCACCTGTATATCTTATGTAACCTCTTGGACTGGCCTTGTGGCCGCTTGCTAGTGCCCAGAGTGCGTGGTGATCTTGAGATCCACCCTAAGCTTGCTTTGCTTTGTTCCTTCTCCTGACAGGTCATGTGACCGCTTTGTTGTGTTTGCTATCCCCCACTTCGCCTATGGAGGTGTGTCAAATTATAAGTTTACTGCTATCTAGGCTGTAGTGGGTTTAGCCTTAGGGGGTACAGTAAATTGCTCGACACTTCATTGTATCCCCCTCCTTGCCCTAATCCTCATCATTCCTTCTCAAACTCCCTCGACATTCTCCTTGGCCATGGTTTCTCCTAGGCCTCCTTCCATCTACGATTCTAACACGATCTGCACCCACCTTCACGCCTTGGTTAACACCATGATGGGGGGTAAACTGCCCCAGCCTGTAGCAGACCTGCTCACGTCATCCCGCCTAATTGCGTTGGCCAGGCCAGAAGGCGGGGCCCAACCAATTGTAATTGGCGAGTGCTTGACCCGCCTGGCAGCAAAGGCCGCCTTGTCAGTAATGGGAGAAGCAGCACGGGAATTTTTCCAGCCGCTGCAATTTGGGGTGGCAGTTCCAAGTGGAGCAGAAGCGATAATCCACACCGTAGGGGCCTTCACCGACTTTTGACCTGACACAGTGATCCTGCAAACTGATCTATCTAACGCCTTGAACAGTATCTCGCGACAAGCAATCGTGAGAGCTTTACAGGACGATGCGTTACAACCACTACTGCCGCTAGTTCAACTCACATACGGCAACCCGTCGCTACTGTACCTGGATGCCGGCTTCAACAGTGCACCCTTGGCAAGCGAACGAGGCGTCCGCCAGGGAGACCCCTTAGGCCCGCTGCTTTTCGCAGCCGGAATACACCCAGCCCTACGTGCGACGGCCACCGCTTACCCCCGCGTGCTCTGCCTTGTCTATGCCGACGATGTCACGTTCCTAGGTGCCATCGCCGAGACAACCGAAGCTTTCGCCCATTTTACCGGACAGCTAGAGCTAGTAGGCCTCCAACATAATCCCGGGAAGTGTGCCGCATGGAGTAGAACCCGCCTTGACGGCTCGGTGCACCTACCACCAGGGGTTCCGTTTTCCGGTGACAGCGTTCGGCTATTAGGCAGTTTCATAGGCACGACGGATGGCGCAACCTCTTTCATTACGGGACAGCTCTTGGCAATGGCAAAACCGCTCCCACTGCTAGAACGAATGGACCCACAGACCTCTTCTCTGCTCCTCACGCGCTGCATATCTCGCCGCGTAGCATACCTTACGCGGACCACACCGCTCAACCTTCTCCCTGACAGCAGCTGGTCACAGTGGGGACGGGATCTACTTGCCACCCTTTTAGCCTCATGCGGTATCCGCTATCCAACTAGTGTTACTGAGCAAAACCTGGTTTGGGAACAGTCCACACTACCCCCCTCCCTGGGAGGGATCGGCCTTACTGACCCCACTGTCGAAGGAATCCATGGCTTCCTAGCGAGCTTCACACAGGCAGCCCTACTCCTCTGCTCGCTCACCTTAGAACCTGTCGACATCCAGACATG